AGTTTTCATTATATGACAGATGAGAGATAAGCTTCTTATGTTCCAGGATTTAGAGAAGACTCAGTCTGAAATGGTACCATGACTTTGGCCTTTTAAAATAAACTTTTAACGCAGACCTGTACATGCACCCCGAAGCCTTTGACCTATCTCCATATAATGAGGCATGATTCTGAGTGGTGGTTCCTCACTCACTATCGCCATGAAAACTCATGTAGTCATGGCCAGCTGGAGGCTAGAACTAGCATAGCATCAGCCACCTGACATGAACTTTTGGTTCATGATAAGTTTTGAAAATACTTCCTGACAAGGACATAGAGCTCAGGTCTTCTGTGTCACAGCCATTGGAACCCTGGGCTTTTAGATGAGCTACAGGAGAGATGTGTTTTCTTAAAATAAAGCTGTTAAGAATTTTAGATCAGGACAGGACTCTGTTTTGTCAGAGTCAAATATCTTCTTAGAAAATAACTTGTTTTCCTAATACCTGATAAACATACAGATGCTTATAGGCCTGTAGCATCTAGAATGACAGCAGCAATAAGAAAATAGTGAACCCTCTGTGTTTGAGATCTTCATCTGTGAACCCAGCCAACCATGGAATAATAATATTTGGAAGAGACATTACATATGTTCTGAACATGGTCAGACTTCTATTTTTACCATTATACGCTAGACAGTGCAGTAAAACAGCATGTATAAAGCATTTGTATTGTGTGGGTATGTCAAGTGTTATAAAAATGACTTAAAGGATGCTATGCCACTGTGTGAGTATTTATAAGTTCTCCTATCTGCAGGGATCCTGGAGCCAACTCCTCCTCCCATAATGAGAGACAACTCTGTATTTTAAAAACGATATAATAAAACAAATTACTCAGCTCTGAGAAACAAAACAATTAGTTAAAATGTTCACAAAATGGTTGGCTTTGAGGTAATGTACTATATACCTCCAGGATAGACTGGCTGGTCAATATTTTCTAAGATAACTGAGGGAGGTAATTTGCTGTTTGGAACAATTAGCTTCGATTCAATTAAAATAATGCCTTTAATCATAGAGTAGTAGTTCAGCAGCCCTTTTATCTGGCAGCATTATGGACAACAGAACCCAGTTATCTATCAGGACAGTTTCTAAATCACAGTCATATGGTTTGTATAAGTGAGACTGCTTGCCTTTGTAACTCACCTAAGAGATATTAGACCACTAGGGAATGACTGACTAGTTCCTCTGAATATGCTGCTTTTTGTGTGTTAGTTAAGTGGAGAGGTGTGCATGGGCAGACATACTGACATTTCCTCCTGTGGTTGTTTTAGTAGGTCTGTCCATCTTGTGTTGACTTGCTACCCTTTACTTATTGGTTTGCAGCAGTTCTTCTCATGTTCTGGTTACAATTGTGTAGTCCCATTTATGACTTGTGTTCTTGTCTTGAATTTAAAACATTTTACTATTGAAATTTTTAGTATATTTAACAGGAATTGTCCCATTGCACCCATGACTCAGCTTTAACTGTTGTCAGCGTTTATCATTTTGTCTTTCTTAGTTCCTCCATTTCTTACTTTTCTGGAGCTTGTAAATACCATGTCATTTTCCCTATAAATCCACTTGGTGTACATGACTAAAGGAATTTTAGAAGAAATACCACTCTGTTATTACCACATCTAGCAAAGTTAATTCCTCAGTATACAAACTTCCCTTAATGTCTTACAAGTTTTTCTGTATTTAATTTATTAGAACCAGGCAGCTTCTACACATTGCAGTTAGCCTACTCTAGCTCATTTCTTTGAATTTTTTTAGTCTCAAAAGCCTCTTATTTTGTAACACTTTATATTATTTTGCAGCTATTGGTTTATTAGTAGAAACTGACAGTTGTCCTATGCAGTTTCCAAAATCTGAGTGCTCTTGCAATATTGTTTAGCTTTTTCTATTACATTTAAATTTTTTTCTTTCTTTCTTGGTTTTTTTTGTTTTTTGTTTTTTGAAACAGGGTTTTTTCTGGGTGTTTTGGCTGCCCTGGAACTTGCTTTGTAGATCAGGCTGGCCTCAAACACAGAGATCCACTTGTCTCTGCCTCTCGAGTGCCAAGATTAAAGTTCTGCCTTAGTTTTCCAAGCTCTAGGATTGAAGGTGTGTACTGTATCATATCCCCAACCCCAGCACCAGCCCTTATTTCTGGATTTATGCCAAAGGCTAGATGGAAAGGCAATATAGAAAACCACACAACCTTTGGTTTATCAGACATGCGATGCTGATTAGGTGTCAGGTGCTAGGGGCTGCAGCTAATATTAATACTGAAGGTTGCATCCATTTTGTTGATAGCAATTTAAATTAATTAAATGATATATTAGATGAAATGCATGAATTTAGTCCTAATTTGTCAGGACTGACAACATGGAGACCTTATGGGGAAATTCCTCAAAAGTCAAGACTATAAAAAACTTATTCTTTCATATTTTTCTTTATCGCTGTTTTTAGACTTTAGATACAGTAGAGTTTTATTTTGTATATATCAGAAGGCTAAAATTCAGTTTTAATGAATTACCATATCATTATTGATTTGTTGATTTACTTATTTGGTTTTCTGGAATTCATTTTTGTTGGGGAGTGTCTGTCATATGTAGACCAAGCTGGCCCTAAATTTGCTGTGTAGCTAAGCTATTCTGATATGTCTTACAACCTGATTGAATGAGTTCCCAACCTCGTACTTTACTTGTACTTGTTGTATGTCATATATATTTTAGAATTTCCATCTCATTACTTACATACATGGGTGGTGAGCAGAAGCAGACAGACAGGGATACAGAAAGGGGGACAGAGACAGACAGACAGGAATATGGCGGGGGCTGGTAGAGAGACAGAGTTTTTATTAGAATTATATTGCACTTATACAGATTAGGAGTTTAATCTTAAATGTTGTAGCCCTTGTGCAAAATGCATCTCCATCTTTCTATTTAAGGAACATCTTCTTACTAAAAATATGATAGGGCAGGTAAGATGCCTTCCTAGGTAAAGGCACTTACTGATAAACCTAAAGACCTGAGTTCAATACCTGGGACCCACATGGTGGAAGGAAATAAAGAAAGGGAGGGAGAACAAAAGAAGAGAGCAAACCCTGAATGCAGAAATGTATTTGGGATGGATTTAGATCATAGACTTCCATGTGAAAGGCCGAGCCATAGCGCATTCAGAAAACAGTTGTTACTCTGAAGAGGAAGAGATTTCTTAGGTTGTATAGCATAGAAAGGAAAATGATAAATTACTGGACTTAATCAAATATTTAGAAGTTTTCTCATCTAAAGACATTATTAAGAAAGAAGGCTGACTCAGCAGAGAAGTGTATATGTTGTTTGTATGACAAGGTAAACAGCGTATTTTCAGAATGGGTAAAAGTGTTTGAATAGAAGGCCACACGAAGCCTAAGCAGAGAAAGACTGCTTAGCACCACCAGTAATCCAGGTATGCAAATCAAAATCACAGATACCCAGGCTTCACTAAAATGACAAAACAAGATAGACACCATCAGCAAGCACTGTAAGTGGTAGAGATCCTCCAAAACTTGGCCTTTCTGTTGTTGAAGTATAAAGTCATGGAGGTGTTTGGGAAACTGTGTGTTTCCTAAATGGTAAGCAGATTTCACATTTATTCTCAGATGTTAACTCAGAGAAATGAAAACATATGATCAAGAACAACCTTGTTTGAGAATGTCAGGATAGCAGTTGTGTTCAGAATGCCCCCCACTCCACTAATGAAAGGTACCCATGTCTGCTCACAGAATGAGTTACAAACGTCTGTATTTACATGGTGGAATTCTTCTTAGCAGAAGAGTCAAACTGCTGGTTCAGCCAGTGTTGTGGACAAATCTCAGCAACTTTATGCCAAATGTGAAAAGCCAGACAGAAAAGTTATAAAATGTACCACTACATTTTTGTGAAAGTTTAAAATAGATGAAACTAAATTGTGGTAATCGAAATCAAATCAGTGGTTACTTGGGGAGGCAGGAGCTGGCTGGAGACAGAGCTTTATGGGAAATCATGAGTCTTGGTGGTAGCCAATTTGTGTGTATGTGTGAGCTGACTGGCAACACAAGATCTGAGCAGTTTGCTGCCTGCAAAATGCTTCAGTTTAACCAAATGTGATATGAGTGTTCATTAATAGGAGCATATGTCTAGAGTTGAAACAGTGAACAGGTTATGAGTGTTTCTTTATAGTTAGACCTTTTCTAATTTCTTTAACAGGCTAGCCTCTTTTCTAAATGCTTTACTAGGTATGAGCTTTTTGGCCTACTGTGTGTGCCGTGTGAGAAACTATTGTTAGCTCCTTTTCTGAGTTCAAGAGTAGTGTCTGTAAGTATGGGAAAGATGATCCTTATAGGTATCCACTGGAGCAGTCCCTGTAGACACTTACGCACCAAGCCCATACTTCCTGTTGCCATCCTCCAGAGCAGTGGTTCTTACTCATTTATCATTGTGTCTAATCACACACATTTGGCAGTATCTGGAGACATTGTCATTGTTACAATTAGAGAGAAGGATGCTGTGCTACTGGCATCTAGTGGGTAGAAACCTCAGAGACTATTAACCATTCTGTAGCACAAAGGACATCCTCCAGTTCTGAAAAATTGCTTGATCCAAAATTACATGGCTTCAAGGTTGGGAAACCTTGTTCTAGGCCTCTCATTATCGCTGAGTCAGTTTGTCAGGTGTTGACTGTGCTCTGCTCAGATCAGTTGCGCAAACTTTATGTTTACATTACATATCTCTTCTCTGACTGAAGTTAATATCAAATATTTGTAAGTATATGTCATCTTAATTATGGAGAGAAGTCCATGCTTCAAAAACACTTCCAACTTTGCATCATTTGTGTTGACTATCAAATATAAGATGTTGGAGGTTTTCATTAAATAGCCAGACATGACCTTACTGTTTTCCTTCAAAGGGGGAAGGTGCGAACTATCTTATCAAATACAAGGATATCAAATGTAATCATTTCTCCTTTATTTCTTCTTCCGCAGAATGACAGGAAGAGAGTTTTTCTCTCGTTTTCCAGAACTGTATCCATTTCTCCTCACGCAGTTGGAAACTGTAGCCAATACAGTGGACAGGTAAGGCAAAGACATACTAGATGAAGTATAGTCACAATGTGAAGACATGTGTAGTCACAATGGTTGGGCAGGATGACTTGTGCCTGTACTCTCAGCCCTCAGAAGATAGACACTGGAGGGTTGCCACCAGTTTAAGGCTAATCTGAGGTACACAGACAGACTTTCCTAAATAAATAAATAAATAAATAAATAAATAAATAAATAAATAAATAAAATCCTGGGAGAGGAGGAACTATGGAAAAATGGCTCGGCAATTAATTAATTAATTTGGTTAATTAATTAATTAAAATCCTGGGAGAGGGGTTGCTGTGGAGAAATGGCTCAGCAATTAAGAACACTGATCTTCCAGAGGACCTACGTTCACTTCCTCGCACCCACATGGTAACTCCCAGCTGTCTGTAAATCCAGGTCCAGGGGATCCAGTGCATTCTGGCATCTGTAGGCAACAGGTACAGTGAGGTACACAGATACACATGCAGACAAAGCTCTGGTTCACATAAAATAAGATACTAAAGTTAAAAACAAGCCAACACTGGAGTAGATGGAATGACTAGTGGGCTCAGACACTAGCTAGTAAGCTTGACAGCTTGAGCTTGGTCTCCAAGACCTATGTTGTAGAAGGAGAGAGCCAGCTCTTGAAAATTGTCTCCTGACAGTGTGCTTTGGCATGTGTGTACACATAAACACATACATGTACACACACCCAGAAGGAGAGAGAAATTAAATAAATATAATTTTTTAATTTTTTTTAATTTTTAAAGACTACAATATAATTACATTATTTTCTTTTTTTCTTTTCTCCCTCCAAACCCTCTCATATACCTCCCTTGCTGTCTTTTTTTAAAGAATTGTTGGTATATTTGTGTGTGTGTGTGTGTGTGTGTGTGTGTGTGTGTGTTCCTTGATACATAAATATAACCTGCTCAATCCATATGTTACTTGTATATGTATGACTTCAGGGCTGACCAGTCAGTATTGGATGACCAGTTGGTGTGCTTTTTCCTGGGGAAGACTTTCCCCCACCCCCAGCCTTCCATAACTGCCTATATTTAGGAACTTCTCCCTCCCACATTAGCATGTCTATTGGTTTCCTTGTTTGGTTTTGTTTAGGCAGCCATGTTGGCAAGATTTCTTGGGTGTAGCTTCTGACATGTCTAGGAGACACATTCTTACAGCAAACGTAAGTTTAAAAATTAAAAACAAAAACCCCAACACCAAGCAAAGTGAAGGGGCTCACAAAGCTCCACCCCCTCTGAAGGTCTGTAGGTGGTGGAGCAGCCACCAATAAGTACCCATAGCCCTGTGAATAACCCCTCACCCATGCTTTTCTCAGCAATTGTAATGAAACTCACTGGTCACCTAAAACAAGCCTGGTAGGAGGGCATAAAAGAGGGTCAGAAGTTTCATATGAAATTATCACCACATATACTTAATATCTCCTAAAACACAATATTCTTTGAAGTTTTATTTTCTTTTATGTGTCTGTCTGCATGTTAGTCTGTACATGCACATGGGTGCCCACAGAGGCTAGAAGTGGGCATCAGATCACCTGGAGACATGGCTCGGTGGTTAAGAGCACTTACTGTTCTCTTAAGACCCATGTTCCTTCAGTCACGGTCCATCTGGCCTTGGTAAACTCTCATTAGATCCGACCCCTTGTATCAGTGGGTGATAGTATCCCTCGCAGTCCTTCGTCATTTTCTTCCTCCTTTTGCTCCTCGTTTGGATCTTGGGGGGCTCAGTTCGGTGCTCCAACGCGGGCCTCCAACTGTTTCGTCATCCAACGCCAGATGAGGGATCTATGGTGATAAGCAAAATATTCATCAGTATGGTCACGGGCCAAGGCCGGTTCAGGCACCCCCTCCTCTGTCCAGAGAACAATCTGGGGATCTCTCCTTGGACCTGGGATCCCATATATAATCAAGTTTCCTGTAAACTCTAATATGACTCCCTTAGTTGAAATATATTCTTCCCTGATCCCACATTCATCCTTCCTCCCTTCCCCCCATCCCGGTCAACCGAGCTTTCTCCAGATTCTCTGAATGTGGCTGGTTTTTCTGAATGTGGCTGGCCTGCAGTCTTTCTGAGAAGCCATTGACAATGACACTGGGACTGGTTTCCTCTGCATATACTGGATTTTTGGGATCCAGTCTGTTTGGATGCTCACCTTCCTGGACCTGGAGTGAGGGGGGGAGGAACTTGGACTTCCCACAGGGCAGGAGACCCTGACTTCCCTTGGGGACAAAGAGGGAGGAGGAGAGGGAGGGGGGAGTGGGAGGGCGTTGGGAGGAGGGGCGTAAATGGAAACTTTTTATAATTTAATAAAATTACAAAAATAAATAAATAAATAAATAAATAAATAAAAATATCAAGTAATTTAAAAAAAAAAAAAGACCCATGTTCCCAGCACCCATGTCAAGGCAACTTACAAACTTTCACTCCAACCCCTGGGAATCTGATACCCTTTTCTAGTCTTCATGGTTATATACATAGACACATGCACATAGACACACACATATACATAGAGAGAAGCACATAAAGTTTTTTTAATTTTAGATTAAAAGAAATTTATTTTTCCATAAAGTGCTTGCCCTACAAGCCCAAAGTTTAATCACCAGTACTCATATAAAAAGTTTGATGTAGTGGCATGTGCACCTGTAACTCTAATCCTGTAGATGCATACATAGAAGGACTAACCTATTGGGTGAACCCCAAGACCCAGTGAGAGACCCTCTCTTGAAAGACAGGGTGGCGTTGACAAGATTGCTCAAGCCTGATGGCATGTCTTGTGTGCCCCAACCCCACATAAGAGTGGAAGGAGAATACCAACTCACAAGTAATCCTCTGACCATGTGTCATGGCATTGTGTCTCCTCCCATCATATGCACAATAATAACAAATACCTTTTTAATTTAAGTTTTAAAAGGACTAAGGTGGGCAATTCCTGAGGATTGACATCCAAGGTTGACCTCTTTCACACACACACAAATTATTTCTTCCTGTTATTTTTTAAGATCTCTGTTTAGATACTAAATTTATTTAATAGATTCTTACTGTTTTGTGTTACTGGCCTGTTGCAACTCACCACTGTGAAATTGTAGCAGTTTGCTAATTAATCAGGTCACCTATGTTCAGATGTGGGTCTGCCTGAGTTAAAATGACCAATGAGTTTTAGGACCTCCTTGAGATGGAGAGGAATGTTCTCATTTCCTTTCAGTCTTACTCTGTAGCTAACAGTAGACTTTTTACTATGGACATCTCAGAACATGTATCTTTTTTTCTTTTCTTTATCAGTCTTTGTGCTGGTGTGAATGCATGTAACTTGTCTGTAATGGGAAGATGTAATTTTATCAGTGAAATTTACTTTTGTTGTGATACGTTTTCTCTAATTGCTAGTTGGTGCAGATAGGATTTTATGGTTCTGGTAAGTAATGGCCTGTTCATTACTCAAACCCACCAGACATGGCAAGCTTCACATTTCCTGCTCTAGACAGCACAGCCAGTTCAAGAAAGATTGTCTTTAGAAGAGGATGCGTACAGAAGCCTTGCTTTGTCAAAGACTTAACATGTGCACATTAAAATGAAGAAGAAAAAGTGGCAAAATGTGTTTGAGTGGTGCCTGACTTCTTCAGTCTTAAATCTTTCATGTATAATAACTTCTTTTCAGTGAGACGGGAGAGCCTGATCGCCATCCCAGTATGTTCCTCTTACTCTTGGTGCTGGAGAGACTCTACCCATCTCCGATGGATGGCACGTCGTCTTCACTCAGCTTGGCACCTTTTGTTCCTTTCATCATCAGGTAGTGTCATGGTATAGGAAACTTGGAGGAAATGCTTTATCTTGTTCTTATTTGGAGAATTATAATCAGCATATTGTTTTAGAAAGCCATTGTGTGAAACCTGTGTTATGGGGAGACTTTGTGCCATTGCTCCTGACTGTTCTCTAAAGCTTTAGAGCAAGGTGCTTATACTGTGGGTATGGGAGCTCATTAGAACCTACTGTGTTGGTCGTGCTTCCCTTGGAGACCTGCTAATGGGTATTTGGTGTTGATAGGAGCTATTCTTTTGAAAAAGCTGCCTATGGTTTGCATTGTTCTATACTGGGCCAGCCAACACATATATGATGGAGCAGGCTTAATCATAGCATGTATTCCCTGTCCTGTAGTTTAAAAGACTATCAGGATATATAGCTCTTTACTCTGGAGGAGTTAGAGCATCCAGGACCTGGTTTGCCTGTGGCAATGCCACATTGCCCATGGTCCCACTTACTTTCTCTTCCAAACTTGGGGTGCCTAAGAAAGATCCCAAAACTTAGAGTGCATATGGATACATACCAACTACAGGTGTGCTTGCTTGGGGGACATCACCAAAGGCTCTGTTACCTCTTTTGTGGTGTCTGTCACCTTCTTGGCCACTTTTATTTTGGATTAAGCACCCTAACATGCCAGCCTCCAAAGAACATTTGTATTTTCTAGCTATTATATTATTAACAGTTTTTGCCTTTCTTCTTACTTCTTGACAAGTTGGTGCCTTTAATGTATCTACTAAAAAATTGAAATGGACTTGGACAAGCAGTATAAGAACATGAGACTCGAGAGTGTGCGTTTAACGTTTGTGTGGCGCTCTGGCCTATGCTTCCTGGTTTCACGTAGCTGACTTACACATTTCCATGTGAGAAACCATTAAACACAAGATTCTGACATGTGATTGCTTTGGCCATTTGTTTGTCACCAAGCCCAGGCTGTGGCTGTGTTATCTTTGATCATAGAGGTGACTCACTCAGAGTGGTTTCTGTTTCCTGATACAGTTACCAACCACCTCATCCAACATTTGGTGATTCATTTTAGAAATTTGGATGGTAAATTTTACTTTCAAGAGCCTCAACAGTATTCTCTCTATGAACACTTGTAGCAGGCAGGTGGGGGCTAAGTACTGTCTCAGAAAGTCGACACAAGAAGAAGGGGGCAGAGAGTCAACAGTGTACATTAGAAAACCAGCTGGGCCATGGACCTTCATCATCTGTACTGAGAACATTTGCTTTGCAGAGGCTTTTACTGTCTGTGGTCTGCTACTCCTAGAAGCAGGAAGTTGCTGCATTGAAAATATCCTTTCTAATTGCCCTGTTTATATATCATCCGAGTATAGACATAGTATTGAGAAATAGTCAAAGATTACATTAATACAGAAGATTTAAACATTACTCTGAAACCAGGTTGTAGGAAGCAGTGAAGTCCTTAGTAGGGGTGTGTTGTTGGCATGGGTGTGGCCGTCAGTGACACAAGTACCTCATCCCATGGGAATGGCAAAAGCTTTCTCTGGGTAAGATTTAGAGGGGTGGCAAAGCCTTCACTTCAGCTCACCCCTGTCAGGATGGTGATAATATCTGCAGAAAATGTCCACAGCTGTTCCTCATCAACCACATTGTGAGCCCAAGTTCATGACCTAAAAATTACTTCCCTACAATGACTGCTCCTACCAAGATAGCTAAACCTACCTCCTCCTTCAGTTGTATATAGTAACACTGCCTTGTTTATCTGTATGCAGTAACTCTGCCTCCTCCAACACTCTCATCTCACTGTTCAACTATATATAATATATATTATACATAGACTTATGACTATATATGTATATAAAACTATATATAATAGGCCAGGCAGTGGTGGTGCACGCCTTTAATCCCAGCACTCGAGAGGCAGAGGGAGGCGAATCTCTGTTAGTTCCAGTACAGGCTCCAAAGCTACAGAGAAACCCTATCTTGAAAAAACAAATGTATATATTAAACACACTGAGCTTTCCAGTGTGCTATTACAGAGCCTAGACTACCTGATCTGTGTCCATGTGTCTGTCTATCCTTTTCTCATTCCCATGTTGCACCTAGTTAGCGTTCCAGGACCCAAACTGCAAGGATGTGGCACCAGGTTAGAACATAGTTTGGGTTAGTTTGATTGGTTTTGTTTATGTTATTTGGTTTTGCAGTGTTGGGGATCAAACTCAGAGCCTTCCCCATGCCTGGCAAGCACTCTACCATTGAGCTGTATCCCAGCCCTGTATATTTAAGAATCTACCCAAGGGGCTGGGAAGATGGTTCAGAAGTTAAGAATGCTTGTTATCAAAGCAGACCAAGGTTTGTTTTCCAGAATTCATATGATGACTCACAACTGCCTATAATTCCAGGTCCAGGGAATCTAGCACCCTCTTTTGACTTCCACAGGCACCAGGCGTACACATGATCCACACACATAATACCTATACATATAAAATAAACAAATCTAAGGGACTTTTAAAGAAAGAGTCTATCTAAGCTTATTTCTCTGTCAGCATGAATCTTTGAAGTTACTAATATGGATTTTCCATGTTATGTGGGCACAGTTAAGACTGTTATACTGTCTTGGAACAGAAATGCTCATATTAGCCCAAGCATCTTGTTTACAATTTTTAAGGTCTTGTGTATTTTTCTGTTCTCCGTCCAGATACACAGCCCTTCCCACATTAATGTGACTCCTTTCATTTCACACCATCCTCTCTTCATTTGCAGTAGCACAGGCAGAATATTAATGTTTTAAAAGAACTCCAAGTAGCTTTCTGAATGCAGCTCCCAGTGTCTACCTGTCTGGGCTTTCTAGAAGCCAGAGGTCTCCTTTGAGACTAACAGGGCTGGGAGTCTTTGGATTCCCTTTCACAGGCAAGTTCAAGCTTCCGCTGGAAAATCTCAGGAAACCACATAGTACACTAGAATGCTGACTGTGGAGTCCTGAAGAGAGCAGAGGCCCAGACTGAGGAGACTTGGTTCTGTGACACTGGCACAGAGCAGTTTGCCTGCACGGAACTGATGTGGTGGTGCACTCTCCGAGTGCATAGTGCCTCCTCCTGCTAAAAGCATGAGAGCCAAGCACCTCTCTAACCTGGGAGGAATCACCTCATTGTTTGAGGGCCTTTGTAAAACATCCCCCACCCCCGCACCCCTACTGCTTTCCCTTCTTTCAGCTTAGTCTAATTTTAGTACCCATCTTCCCCCGTCCATTTACTCATTGCCTTCATTTTTGAAAGTGAGCTCTGTTTGCTTTCTTTCTCTTACAAATACTAAGCACCAATAACAAAACCAAACAAATATGTACCTGTAGAAGTCATGCATAGAACCTATGTGGGGGACATTTTTATGTTGAGATGTGAGCATCTAGTCAACAAAGAATAGGGAAGCTTGTGTTTCATGTATTTAAAAGGGTTTCATGGGATCTTAGGACTCTATCAGTTTTACCAAAGAGGAAGATGGAGATAGAAAAACTGAAAGTTGGTCCTTTTAAGCTTGTGACACTGGGAAATAATATTGACTCTGATCTTGTTTCCCTTGAGTATTACATAATACAGATGATTACATTGTATCTTCTTCAGGTTATGAAGTAAAGCAGCTTGTCTTCTATGCTGGAGTATTGTAGATCATACAGGGAACAGTAATGAGTTTCTACTTCACTTAAGATTCTGGTGCCAGGAACTCTTCTTTAAGTATGCATTACACTGCCGCTTTTGTGTTTTGGATTTTATTTGTCTGTATTTGTATTTATTTTTGTTTCGAGATGGATTCTTATGCAGCCCAAACTTTCCTGAACCTAGTACATAGCCAAAGACAACCTTGAACTTCTCATCATCTTGTCTCCACTTCCCAAGCATCTGGATAATAGGCATGTGCCAGTATGCCAAGATATACCAGTGCTAGGAATTGAATTTAGGGATTAACCACATGCCATGCCCATCTTATTTGTATCTGCTCTGACTTCAGAATCCTTTTAGATAAGTAGAGGGCAACATTTACTTTATGGAGACAAAACAGGTAAGCAGAGTGGTTCCAGCACTGCCAAGATGGAAGGAAGTCTCTGCTGCTCCCTTTCTCATGCTCTCAGCTCCTGGTCGCTCCTCTTTCGAAGCAGTATGCTCTCCTCCTGCCATTTTCACTATTAGACTGGACTATAATGCTCAGTGCTTGCTCCTCAGCACGGACTGTAATCTTCTTCCAGGCAGACAAACTCAGGCATTGTTGTTTTGTGGTACTTTCTTCTACCTAGTACAAATCTAGGCACCAAATTAAACTGAGGAATATAAAAATGAAACTAGCTTGGAGTCCAAAGTTTGTGTGTGAACAGATCTGTGTATTCTGAAGTGTTCAAGGACTTCCAGCCCTCTTTTATTAGAACCACATGTTTTAGCCATGGTCATGGCTTATATAGAAAGGAGCCTCAGCTGGGTTCCATGTTTTATCTGGCCTTTGAGGAGCTCTCTGCTCTAATCTGAGCTTTGGCATTTGCTTATGTTGTGATTCACCTCTCTGACTTTTTGTTTCCTTTTCAAACAAGTTTCAATCAAATTGAGTTCTTGGACTGAATGTTACCTTGGTCCTCTCTGGCCTCATGAGCTTGTGACCTTCCTGGATTATGAATTCCTTTTTGACTGTCCTTTAGAGGGGCCCTGTGAAAGTGCCTTTCAGTACCCTGATGCAGGGTTTAGGGTCATTAGAGAGAAGCCTGAATGGATCAGGATAGAAGAGGTGGCAAAGCACTGTTTTTCTCTTGGAGCTCATAGTTATAATGAAGCCAAACGTGCAAGGGAAAGCCCCCCCAGACTAAGACAACCAGAACCCAGGTAGGAGAGCCTCAGTCTAGCGGGGTTAAATGTCCTCCTTACAAAATAGCCTCCTGGGTTTAGGCAGAGGAGAATCTCTGTGAGATTGAGGCCAGCTTGGTCTACATACAGAGCTCTAGGACAACCAAGACTACATAGAGAAACCCTGTCTTCAAATCAAAACAAAAAC